GATGAGCAGGACGGGGGGAGGGTATCTGGGGGCTGAGCAGGGCAGGGGTAGGGCATTGGGGGCTGAGGGGCATTGGGTGGACAGGGGCGGAGGATCTGGGGACTGAAGAGCTGCAAGGGGCCTGGGGGGGAATGCAGGGAGGGAGATGGGAAGTAGGGTGCAAATAGGCGGCATGAGGGAAGGGCTAGATAAAAATAGGCCTCTGAACCCTTGGAGAGGCACTGACTTCAGCAACATTTAAGGTATGAAAGTTTTTTTCCTCTTTTGTCTGGTTTGCTCTCCTTGAGCTTGGAATCCCAACTTGTGACCTATCTTCCGTAGCTCCAGCTTGGTTCTATCAGACACATCACCCTTCTCCCTTCCTTTGCTCCCCTGCTAAATGTGCTTCATCGCCCTGTTATCTCTAACAGTGGGAGGTGATGAGGAGAAAAAAAATCAAACTCTTAATTCGTGGATGAGCATAGAACTTAAATTAACTCCTTTTATCTGTTGCATGCTTGCAGATCCGCCAAAGCTTTAATTAATGCCTATTTGGAGTCTTCTGCCTTGTGGGGTGGCAGTAAAAGGGACCAATGTGTATAGGTGTGTCAGGAGGAAAGAGGGGTTCTGCTGGCTTAGCCAGTGGTGTTTGGGAAGGGGAAATGGAAAGCTTTTGCCTGTGTTACTTTACCAACATGGCTTTATCATGCACACAGCTGAACAAACACACTCTCTGTGGAGAAGCTACATCTATACTGATGGTACAAAGTACCACCTCCTCCGTGCTGCTGTGTGAGAGAGGTGGGTACTGAGGTGGGTACAGGAAGGTAGAAACAGCAACTCGGGGCTCAGTTTTTAGGCTTGTAACAGCCATTCCTGTCTCATCTCCCAAGGGTCAGCGTTAACTTACTGCAAACTGTCCTGTAGAAAGCCATGTGACCCTGAAAAGAATTAACCCAGAACCCAAGTTAATCTGTGTTTGTTGGGGGTGGGGAGGTGTGTGTTTGTTTGCTTTTTCCTCTAGAAAAAAACCTTTTCTATTCTAGTTCCTGACCTTCGAGCAAGCTCTCTACTGAATGGAAATAAATTTGCCCAAAGCAATGATGAGCGAAGTATACTCTGAACTGGTATTGCTGAGACTTTGTGTCTTTGCTCTGACCAGGGCATGATCATGTAATCTTCTCTCTGAGCTTATTTAGGCTAAGCTCATCTAGAGTAAACAGCTTTGCTTCTTGAAACTTTTTGACACACCCTAAAAAATATTGAAAAAATATTAAGATTTTTTAGCCATTTCTTTTATTGGCAGAAAAACAAAATCTTGATTTGAAAAGTGAGTAGTGCAAATACTTGTTTGGATTCGCGTATCTTGCAGCAGTGCTGGGTTTAGTACTGAGCTTGCAGTGAGAGGGGTTTTGTTTTTCCTCCTATGTGCAACATGGCTTACAAAACTCCATATATTCTGCCACTGTATCTTCTCTGTTTGTAAATGCAGCGCAGGCTCCATAAAACAGTTTGAGCTGTGTGTCCTGTAGACACCTCATTAGCAGTTGGTTCAGCCGTATTATCATCTAGTGATTGCCAGCACTGGGGCAGGAGTATTTTTGGAAGCAAGTTGTGGTGTTGGGCCTGGCTTTGGTGCTCTGCTCTGGATGAAGTGCAGCCTGTTTGGGTGGGAAGGCTGGGCTAATCAAGCAAGTACAGGAAAAGATACAGAGCTATTATCTAATCTAGTTCTTATTCTCTTCCAGGTCTTGGTGGCAGCTTTACCTTCATTTCTCTCTTCCTATGGAAAAGGAAGCATCTACAGGGGAATATGTACCTAGGAGTATGGCAGTGGTGGTTGTCTCTT